ACAAATTTGAATGATGTATACCAAAATAGTTTTTTAAGTTTAGGATGGGGTTTGATTTATTTTGGAAATGACGCATACTTGATCCTGCATTCTATTCTAGAACATTGTTATAACAGAGATACATTCTGTCGTTGGAATTGCATTAAATTAAAAAGGACATTAATTATATATCATTTGATTAAATATATTATATAATATATTTATTAAAAAATAATAACTTTTAATTAAAAATTAATAATAAACAATCTTAAAAATTCTATCATGTATTTTTTATGTAAAAATTAATTAAATTAATCATATTTATATTATATTTTAATAACTAAATCAAATAAATATAAAAAAAATTGCATTGAATAAAAAAATATATTAATAATTTTTTATCTGCAAAACACTACACTCTTTTTGTAATTTGATTTAATCTAAAAAAATTGGTTTCAAATTTTAGCATTTTTCAAAGAAAACCCATAGAAAAACAAAGAAGAAAATCCATGTATGCTGTGGAGTAGGAAAAGTATAATGGCGGAAATCAGAACAGCCATGAAAAATCCAAATCACCAATCAATTCAGTACCAAAAAAAAAAAGGTAGAAGGACTGTACAATACACCAATTATTACAAATTTAGATAAAATCCGATAGCATTCCTTATTATTATGCATGGGTGGGTACTGCAATCTAATAAAATTATTAGTGTGTTATACCCATAATCAATGATTTTTTTTTTTTTCCACTAATTTTACAAGAGATTGAATTCGAATCCCAACCCTGGAGGAAGGAATGCACCATGGGTGACTATTGTCACCTGACCTGAAGGCTCGGTGCATACCCATAATCAATTATTAAATTTTACCAAAAGTAAAATATTAATTTAACTAATTTCTAACTTTTAATTATTATTCCTATTAAAAAAATCAAATCAGATAAAAACATACAGGATTAATCTGTATTATCTCACGTCATCCTTACATGGTGTATACGTACACACAGTTACACAAAATAAAGCAGAAGTTTTATAATAGTAAAATGAGAAACCATGTACCTGCTCATTGAATAAAAGAATGAGAAAAAAAAAACTTAAATTAAGAGGGAGATGGCATCAAACATGAAGGATGGTTAAGCAAAGAACAATCAAAGTTAAAGATTAAAGAATCATGTTTTGTTATTTAAATTACTGTAAAATAAAAATAATTGAAATGAGAAAAATCTCAACATCAAAAATTTTAATTTTTATCTAATAATTAATATAATATAATTTGATAAAGTTTAAACTATATTTTATTATTTTTAAAGATTAAAAAAGGGTTACATAGAGGTAAGTAGTTTGCATGATATTGTTAACTTCTTTTTTTACAAAAAGAGCTTATCTTTGTCGCTCTTGAAACTGCTCATTGCACACATAAAAGATTCCGTGCAATGTTCAAACTGGCTGTAGCCTGGCCTGTGTTTCTAACTCACACAGTAGAAACCAAGAGTTCTATATATTGGAAACAATACAAAAAGGGAAGGTTTATTACTCACCAATTCCGTATACAATATTGCCAATAATTAACCTCAATTTGTGTAAGAGGAGTGAAGGAAGAAAAGAACTCCTTCTATTTCTTTATGAGCTGAATTCTATTGATCTTCATGGCAATCTTCCTGAACTTTGTAGTCCAATGCTATTATGCCCCTTGGAAGGACCAGAAGGTGGTATGAGCATTCCCTTGGGTAAGAACCCAGAGAAAGTACTTTGTGGGGGATTCTGAAAACTGGGTTTTACCTTGAAGTGAGTGTATCTTGATCCATGAGCTCTACCACCCAAGAGAGTGAAAAGCAACAGTAACCTTAGCACCAGAGCTAGATGTTTTCTACCCATTTAAACCAGAAAGAGCTAGAAAAGAAGAAAGAAAGAAGAGAGAAAAGAAAAAACCTCAGAGAAAGAGAAAAAGAAACAGAGAAGATCGATGTTGTATGTTAAGCTAAATATGTTGGAAGGAGAAGATGTGATGTCTGGTAGGCACAAACTACAAAATATTGTGCTGAATAATAATATAAATTGAGGGGGTTTGGTATGCTGGCAAAGTTGGGGGGGTGGCTTGTGTAATAAGGCTATGATATAAAGTACAGACAAGACGGTAATATAGAAACAGAAAGAAGTGAATGCAGTATCATCATGTGTCTTGGCTTGTCCTGTGTTGATCAATAGCAAAGTTTAAATACTCAAACATGTTCCAATAGTTAATTTTGCATTAAAGACCAGAAAAGCTCTTTTTGAGAGGTGTTGAACGGGTCTTAAGGGGGTGTGTTAGGGGAAAAAGCACGGGTTAACGAATGAGGAGCCAAGAGGGTGTTAATAAAATTAGAAAAATGGAAGAAAATGGAAAATTTTAGAGGAAAATGGGGATTTGTGTAACATGGTTAGGTGAATTTGTGGGGCCATATCGAAATTAATGGCCGACTGCGTATACTTGAAACTGTTATGCCAAGCCCCACAGGACACCACAACATGGAACCTGTCCCTTTGCCTTATAATACACCACTTCGTAGGACTCTTAATTACATTACACTGGTTCTTCCTATCTTTCTGAAATCCATCATTCTCCCCCTAAAGAAGTCTCTGCTTCTTTCTTTCTCCACATCAATTCCTCATCTTTTAAGATACTATCTTTTTCTTTAATTTTTTTGTTTGAGAGAGAGAAAGAAGGGAAGGAGGAGAAAGCCTAAAGGAATTCTAGCTAGATAGTGGGATATGAGGGCCATAAATGAAGGACATACTGAAATGATTTGAGGAGTAAGAGAGTAAAGCAATGGAGATGGGTCCTAAGAGTAAATCAAGTGACCCCACGTGCTAGCTGAGTTGTTGGCGGATACTAACTTGGGGGACAGACAGATTGATGGATTGATGGGTTTTGGGTAATCCACTCATCTTTGAATGAGGTTCTTTCGGCTTTTGAAGCGTTTCACCATAGGAAGCCATAAATGGTTCATGTGGACCTGTTTTTCTATGAAGAACATGTCCAGCATTGTGCAACATGGTAGGGGTAGAGCCTAGAGAGAAGAGGTTGATATGGTGATGGTGGTCACAAGACTCACAAGACAGGTCACAACCACATCTTGTTTCAGGTAGTGGCCTAGCCTACTTGTTCTTCTAAAGAAATACTCCCACCCAGAAAAGGGGGGAAAAATAGAAAACTCCTCGTTTACATAGTGTTCGGGTAAAAGTAAAACACATAGGTGAGCCCGGCACCTGGACAAGTGGACATTTGGCTAGGGATCACGCTCTTGTCCCGTGAACAGGATGTCACTTTCTAAACCAAATTGAAGTTACATTTTTTTATCCACAAAACCAAATCAGAGTTATATTTTTTTATCCACAAAACCAAGTTGCAGTTTGTTCCTCCCAAGAAAAAGGTTAAGGATGATACTGAATTTCATGGAGAACTGGGGTCAACCTAGATAATACATATCCAAAGAATATGGGCTTATCTGGACCGGCTCTGAACGTCAAAAGTAGTCAGATTTTGTACTGGGCCCTTCTGTTTGTTTATTTTTATATTATACATTAAGAACAAAAAAGGGAGGGGAAATGGGAAATAAACAGAAAAAGAAACCTTAGAAAATCAGGAAATGAGTATATTACCATGCTTCGTTCTAGACTCTCAGACATACCCACGGCTTCCTTGTTTCTTACCTGCAAAATGAGAAAACAAGAATGGGTTTTTGTGATATGCAGAGATCAAGAATATATCAAGAAATTGAAATCAGCTAGGTTTTATAAAAGCAACATATTGTTAAAAGAAATACTGTTTGCAACCAAAAATGAGAAAACTCAAGAAGCTTGTAGATTGCCTTTATTGATAAGACCTAGTTGATTAAATTTAAATGATGGAATAGTTATGGGAAGATAATTTTTAAAAAAATGACTTACTTTTAAAATAAAAAATGAATTTAATTTAACATACAAAAATTGATTCAAAACATCATCTAATGAATAAAGAATAAAAAATACATTGAACCCTATCTACTTAATTTATTTACTGAAGATTTAACTTTAATACCAAGTTGCTAGAGCAATTATATGCTTTAAATCAGGAGAGCTGCTATGAATTAAAACCCTAATTGGCTTATTCCATGCGGCAAGCAATTAAGCAACCATACCATCTTCTGGTGGTCGTAGGACTTTTGTTTCTACCCAATTTCCTGGTCAACTACAATTTATACTGTTTACTACTTGGGTCATGGGTTTTGACTCAATCTTTTTCACCAGCTAAGCACTTAAATGGGTCATCATTTGCGAGCTCATACGATTATTGACCAAGTTATGGATTCCACAACTTGAGATAAGGCTGTTAAAACACCACAGCATATTAATGTGGGGTCTCATACAAAGGTTATAAAGACGGTAAAGATAAATCCAACTGCATCCAGCCGGTACGGCATATATTGGCAAAAAATTAACTTAGCCTGTTTGCTAAACCATAAGCTGTTGAGGTCAGAAAGTCAGGATAACGGGACAAATTACCAAAAAATGTCACAAAATCAATAATGAATATCAGTATAATAATGAAAAAAACAAACAAGCCATGTTATTAAGAGATTTATATTCAAATCTTTACTCGATCTCATGTAAATTTAATAGTATTAGTTATTGGAATTATTTATAAAGAATACGTGTTAGGTTAAGTCAAGAGTAAACAAGGAGAGTAATCATCTCCAAAAGTCTAAAACATGCATTGATTTTCTTGTCCTCTGATGCATCGGTTGGTGCTGTAGTTGAATGAGGATATTGGAAAGTTTTGCACCGAAGACTTTGAAACATTCATAAGGCAAGACCAACTCAACTACTTCTAACAATTAATATAGAAATGGGAATACCAACTCACTCGTAACAATTGTGGTCTGTAGTTTAATGGGTTAGAGAAAAAGCTAACTCTAATGTTTCCTGGAACTCATCTATCTTGCTCATGCAATGAATATTTATACCATACTTTATGGGTTTTGCCTTGCTTTTTTCCCTATTTCGTGGAAGCACTTGTGGCAGATTTACAAGTCCTGAATTCCGGGATCATGAATTATCTTAG